AAAAATCTAAAAACACGGTTAGATTTGGCATATCAAAGAACCCCAATAATTCAATTTTCGATGAAATCAAACAAAGTTTAATTTTGGACCCTTTTGACCTCAATATGAACCAATTTGATAGCGGGGCCTACAAATAAAAAATCTAAATACATGGTTAGATTCAGCATATCAAAGAACCTCATATATTCAATTTTTGTTGAAATCAAACAAAGTTTAATTTTGGACCCCAATTTGGACCAACTTGAAAACTGGGCCCATAATCAAAAATCTAAATACATGTTTAGATTCAGCATATCAAAGAACCCCATATATTCAATTTTTGTTGAAATCAAACAAAGTTCAAATACTGGACCCTATCTTGGACCAACTTGAAAACTGGGCCCATAATCAAAAATCTAAACACATGTTTAGATTCAGCAAATCAAAGAACCCCAAGAATTCAATTTTTGTCAAAATCAAACTAAGTTTAATTTTGGACCCTTTGGACCTCAATGTAGACCAATTTAAAAAACAGGACCCAAAATTAAAAACCTAAATACACGGTTAGATTTGGAATATCAAAGAACCCCAATAATTCAATTTTAGATGAAATCAAACAAAGTTTAATTTTGGACCCTTTTGACCTCAATATGAACCAATTAGATAACGGGGTCCACAAATAAAAATCTAAATACATGGTTAGATTCAGCATATCAAAGAACCCCATATATTCAATTTTTGTTGAAATCAATCAAAGTTTAATTTTGGACCCCAATTTGGACCAACTTGAAAACTGGGCCAAAAATCAAAAATCTAAATACATGTTTAGATTCAGCATATCAAAGAACCTCATATATTCAATTTTTGCTAAAATCAAACAAAGTTTAATTTTGGACCCTTTGGACATTAATGTAGACCAATTTGAAAACTGGACCCAAAATTAAAAATCTAAATACACTGTTAGATTCGGCATAACAAATAAATAAATGTGATCAAAGATTTTACAAATCTAATGCGCCATACTGTGCAATTAAAGATTACTTCTTGAAATTTTTCAATATTTGAAATTTGAAAAAAAAATAATATATGAAGAATAATTCTTTTTAATTTCTGAAATCTGAAATGAGAAAAAATTGGCCCCCCACAATTTCTTTTTATCCCCCCCCCCCTTTTTCCCCCAAAAAAATTCTTTCCCTCAAGATATGGTCATAATCTCAATTCGAATTTCCAATGGAGTTGGCAACCATAATTACCCATTTAAATTTACCATAGTGCTAACTTAATCTATTTTATAATAGAATTAATAAAAATATAGTGTCAAATCTTTCATATGGATTTTTTTGTAAAAAAAAAGATGAAAACATTTGCAGATATTTTTACTGGTCTTCCTTTATAAATATGCATTTCTTTAAACATAATTTAAAAGCAGTGTAAGGGAAGTAACCAAAACTTTTAATTTGGATTACCTCCCTTACACTGTTTTAGATTATCTTTATTGTTCATTAACCATTACTTTATACATAATTTAAAAGCAGTGTAAGGGAGATAATTTCAATGATGCATTTGATTTATCTCCCTTACACTGCTTTAAATTATGTTTTGTACTAAAGTATTTGTCCATTAACCAGGACAACCTTGTTTTTCCCCCTTTTTTGCCCCTAATTCCTAAACGGTTTGAGCCATAACCCCCCAAAGCAAATCCTAACCATCCCTTTGTGGTATGGAAACTTGTAGTATAATTTCAGAGAGATCCATACACCGTTCCACAGTTATTGTCTGGAAACTAGAAAATGCTCATTTTTGGCCCCTTTTTGGCCCCTAATTCCTTAACTGTTGGTACCATAACCCCCAAAATCAATCCCAACCTTCCTTTTGTGGTATTTAACCTTATGGTCAAATTTCAAAAAGATCCATTCACTTAAACTAAAGTTAGAGTGCGAAAACCAATATGTATTCGGACGACGACGCCGGACGACAACGACAATGACGACGACGACGACGACGACGACGCCAACGTCATACCAATATACGACCACAAAATTTTTTTGCGGTCGTATAAAAACAAGAGTGCACACACTGAAATGTCTCGCCTGTTTTACTCACCATTGATTTAATGTTGAAAGTCTTAAAGATAAAGGTTTTACTGCAAGTATCACATAAACTTAACATTTTTAAAGATCCATGACAATGAGGTCAAGGTCAAATAAAAACTGTCACACAGACATGTACACCTTACAATTATTCTGTACACCAAATATAGTTGACCCATTGCTTATGGTACTTGAAAAACAGACCAAAACACAAAAACTTAATGTTAACCAATGAACCATGGAAATGAGGTCAAGGTCAGATGATACTGGCTTGACAGACATGTACACCTTACAATCATTCCATACACCAATTATAGTTGACCTATTGCTATTAGCATTTGAAAAACAGACCAAAACACAAAAACTTAACATTGACCAATGAACTATGAAAATGAGGTCAAGGTCAGATGACACCGGCTAGACAGACATGAACACCTTACAATCATTCCATAAACCAAATATAGTTGACCTATTGCTTAAAGTACTTGAAAAACAGACCAAAACACAAAAACTTTACAATGACCAATGAACCATGAAAATGAGGTCAAGGTCAGATGAAACCTGCCAGACAGACATGTACACCTTACAATCATTCCATTCAGCAAATATAGTTGACCTATTGCCTACAGTACTTGAGAAACAGACCAAAACACAAAAAATTAACAATGACCAATGAACCATGAAAATGAGGTCAAAGTCAGATGAAACCTGCCAGTCTGTCATGTACTCCTTACAATCATTCCATACACCACATATAGTTGACCTGCTGCTTGTAGTACATGTATCTGAGAAACGGACCTAATCACGTAACTTTAACTTTGATCACTGATCCATGAATTGAGGTCGAGATCAGGTTAACTCTGTCTGATGGACATGTAGACGTTGCAAGGAACCCATATACCAAATATAGTTATCTTATTACTCATAATAAGTGAGAAATGCACATGACAAAAAAACTGTAATTTTTTTTCAAGCAGTCACTGAACCATGAAAATGAGGTCAAGGACAATCGGCATATGACAGACAGAAACTTCGTATCTGCATACAAGGTATGAAGCATCCAGGTCTTCTACCTTCTGAAATATAAAGCCTTATACAAATAGTTTACGCCGCCACCGCCGGATAGTAATACCTATGTCTTGCATACTGCGTCGCAGGCGAGACAATAAAATATCCTTCTAAGCATAACAATAAATTAATCATTGTAACAAGAAAATAAACCATAAGGTGTATTTCTAATCATCAAAAACTCAATTATAATTTTTTTTCCATGCAACTATTTATAATGAACATCTTAAGGATGTTGGAATATTGATGATTCTTTTTGATTTTTTAATTCAATGGCCAAGAAAGTGGCTTCATCATATCTTCTCCTTTTATGTTTATACAACAGGTATGACATAATTTAACATAATCAATGACTTTGGACAGATGAATTTTTTTTAGGATCTACACCTCTGAGGAGCCAAAAATTTCTAGAATTAAACTTTTTTCCTTCACCTGATTTTTAGGTTTATAAGACTGCAAGAAAGTAATTGATGAAGAAAAAATCATATGGTGGTGCACTTCTTTTTTTGCTACAGCCATTTGAAAGTACCGGTACCCATTTTTAAGGATTTTCCTATTTTTCGTCAATTTTTACCCATTTTTGGGCTATTATCATGAAAAAAATCACAGTTTTAAAATTAAACTTTATTTCATACTTTCACTGCAGATGATGTGGACCTATCTGAATACAACTGACTTAAAAAAAACTATAGGTTGGTGTTGATATAAGAAAATTTTTTGCTTTTTAGTGTCAAATTGACTGTGCTGTCAATTTTGTAAATTTGGGATTTTTCTCTTTTTTTTAGAACAAAAAGCATGTTATTTCAAATTCTTTGTTATAAATCATTGAAACAATACCAATCTAAGAATTTTGAAAAACAAAAAATTGATATGGGATGTACATATTTTTGGTAAAATCATTTCTTTGTACCCCTCACCCATTTTCTCAATATTTTGGCTGATGACACTGACCGGATTGGTTATAAAATTTGACGTGATACCAATATACGACCGCAAAATATTTTGCGGTCGTATAAAAACTCCCTTATTGTAAGTACACAATTTTTTCACAGAGGTTAGTTTAATTATGATATTCTTTAAATTCATTAATATTTTCCACTTGTATCACATGTTTTGGAAATAATTCCCCAACAAGATTTCAACGAGACTGAAACATCAGAAGACATCCTTAATGGACATGTACACCGTACAATAGTTCCATACACAAAATATAGAAAGTTATAGATTTAGACAAACTAACCTTATCACTATAATTTAACATTGACCAATGAACAACAATAAAAATGAGGTCAAGGTCAGATGAACCTATTCAGATGGATATGTACACTTTACAATAATTCTATGCAGGCATTGTAGCTGACTTATTGATAATAAATCTGAGAAAAAGCCTGAATCACAAAAACTTGCTTGACCAATGACCCATGAAAATGAGGTCTAGGAATGCTGAATACTGCCATACAAGTCATCTAGTGCATGAAAGTAAGGATAAGATATTGAGGTTGTTTTCAAATTTTTGAAGCCACCATCATTGCTGCTGGAAAAGTTATGCCTTCCTTGACTTTTGTCATGGGCAAAGACAAAAAATTATGAAAAAGAACTGCATAATGTATGTTATAGTTCACTGTCCTGATATTGCCTATGAACAAGACACAGAACACAGGACAGGTATTGATATGACAAGTTGGTTATATCTTGGGACCAATCTTACTGCAAAGTTTCTTATGGAGGACTTAGGTCTTAGATTGAAAGAAATATAAGGTAATATATCTGCAAAGAAAACAATGAATATCTGAGTACAAAAAACACAACTTTTTACAATAAAAAAAAAAAAATTTAGCATGCGAAATTCTACTTTTAACTTACTGGATTGCTGCTACAAAGAATGAATCCAATATGGCCACCTGTATATGTTGGTACAAGTGTTAATCCATAATCAGCTTTTGGAAATATCTTCCTTGATACTTCCATTAACTTTTCAATGAATGGTAGATCTAAATACAGGTTTTCAGCTGAAAATATACCAAGGTATTAGTTTATAAACTGCATTTAAAATTTGTACGTTTACTGTGATCCTAAACTGATTGCCATACCAAGGAATTTGTTGATAGTTAAAGGATTTTTCACATCAACTTTGCAAATTGTACTCAGTATTCAGAAAGTGTATGTAACAGTACTGAAATTTACGTTACATTTTTGAAACTAATTTTAGGTCTGAATTTACTTTAATTGCTGTTTTAACAGACCTGATAGAATTCTCAAAAACAATATAAAGTATTTAATTTTTCAATTATTGTTTACTTTGTTTCTTTTACTTAGGAATAACAATTTGTTTTTTAATTGATAAACTATACTTCTCTCAGATAGGAGTAACATTATAAAAAAGACATTACAATAAAATGAATAGGTATCTGTATCTTCTTCAAATAGTACTATCTGTTTATACTCTTGTATCAGTACCTTTTACCAAATATGCAATTATTGCATCAAACAAGGTGTAAGTTTTCTGTTTTCAGAGAAGATCTCACACTTATTATATAACTTCCTGATGAAGGTAAATCTAGAAAAGCACTCTGAGACATTAAATTTATAAAGTATTATTTCCATTTTTTAGAAGTCCTTTTTGGTTATATATAGCTCTTCACATGTTTCGTTATCTATAAATCCTTGGCTTTCAGATTTTTTACATTGAGGGTTTCTGATAAAGTTTATTACTGAAAAGTGCTTCGGTTGTATACCATCTATTAAATGTTATTTTTATCTTTTTATAGCTCTGGTTCGGTACCCGCAGCTGGTGAACTATAAGTGCCAAAGTGTATCATCCCCTCAGTAATCAGTGGCTTCGGTATTGACATGATTTAAAACATACATTTCTTAAATTGTCCTTTAATAAATTTAGAAATTATTGAGAAATTAAGATTCCAACTTCTCAGGCAAAATTGGCCTTAGATGGATTTGGCCATTATTTTTAAGTTCCTTTTAGTCATGTATAGCTCTTAACCTGTTTTGGTATTTATACATCATTGGCTTTCAAATTTTTGGCTTTAAGCGTTCCTGATGAAGGTTATCACAAAATCCAAAAATGTGCTTCGCCGAGCGCAGCTGGATACGACCGCAGAGGTCCAACCCTGAACTGTAGGGGGAAAAATGGACACAATATTCAAGCTTGATACAGGTCTGAATTTGGATTGTAATTAAATATTTGACACATTATAATTTCTGACACAGAATAAATGTAGTCAAAGAACATGAAATTGGTTATATGATTTGAATTTATATTCAATTGAAGAATTCTTGCTGTTGTGCAATACACTGTGCTGTTGCGCAATACTTAGTAAATCTGTTTTCAGACTATATACAAAGAATTAGCAAAATAAATTGTGACCCCACATTTTTTTTACTCCCCCCCCCCCCCCCCCCCCCCCCCCCCAAAAAAAAAATATTTGTAGAAATTTTTCTTTTTGTAAAATGTGGTACAATTTAAGAAAAAATGCTTGTTTTGGCCCCTTTTTGGCCCCTAATTCCTCAACAGTTTGGGCTGCTGCTAAATAAATTACCCCCAAAATGAATTCCAACCTTCTACTTGTGGTATTGAACCTTGTGGTACAAGTTCAGAGCAATCTAAATACTTATACACAAGTTATTGTCCTGAAACTAGAAAAATGCTTGTTTTGGGCCCCTTTTTTTGCCCCTAATTCCTAATCGGTAGGGACCATCACCCCCAAAAACAATCCCAACCTTCCGTTTGTGGTATTGAACCTTTTGGTTAAATTTCATAGAGATCCATACACTTAAACTAAAGTTATTGTTCGGAAACCAATTGTCTTCGGGCGACGAAGACGACGACGTGATAGCAATATACGAACGAAAATTTTTTGCGCTCATGTAAAAAAGCTCTTCGGATGCTTAACATTTACAAACTAATATCTTCCTTTTATCATATCACTGGGTTGTTACCGCTGCAAGTTGACTTTTAGTACAGGAGGGTCTCATCAGCTCAGTAGTCAGTGCTTTGGTACCGACATGATTAATAACATACCTTTCTGTCCATTGATAAATTTAGAATTCATTAAGAAAAACTAAGGTTGCATTTCAGGCAAAATTGACCTTAGATGGAGTTGGCTATTATTTTTTAGTCACTTTTGGTCAATATAGCTCTTCGTATGTTTCGACATTAATACAAACTTGGCTTTAAAACTTTGGCTTTGAAAGTTCCTGATGAAGATAAATCCAGAAAAGCTCTTGGGATGCATACAATTTATAAAGTATAAATTATTTTCATTTTTTTTTTCTCCGTCACTTGATCTTGTTTGCTGAAAATAATAATGCTTCCTTCTAAATATCAACTAAAATTCTAAAGTTTGATTTCCATACCTGTCAGTCCAAAGTTTGTATTCTACATGTTCTATTAAGGCCTATTTTCCTCTATAGTATTATTTTCTTCCATGGCTAATAAAATGTTCATCAAAACTTTTAAAAACTGTCTACTTATCTAATGAGAATTTCACTTCAAAGCTATTTTGTTATAATCAAATCATGCAAGTGTCTCCAAGTGCTGATTTCTATAGGTACAATCATGAGATCATACGTGTTTCTGTCTGATTTTTATAAATACACTTTTCCTGTCATTTTGTTTGGTTTGGGGATGTATTAAGGAGAACATCACACTTATTATAGCATATTAAAGAACTCTGTAAAAAAACATTCAATGGGGTCTTTTGGTTGCTTGATGCAAAGAAAACTTTCCGACTTTTCCTAACATGCCCAAAATTTGAAGTTGCAACTTAAAATTTCTTGCAAATCCTCTTATTGTCAGTCCCCCACTTTACAGAAACTGCTTAATAATGGATTAATTGTAGAATTCGTGATTATTCTTAATAGGCTTTTCCCACTGAAGGTTAAGAAAACAACATTTATTACATGCATATCTATATAATAACCAATGCACATAGTTTATTGGAGATGAAATGTATAAGGAGGGTACATGAGACAAACAATTCGTGAAAAAAAACCTAGAAAATAAGCCTATATGAAGTAACAGCCCTTTATTACTGTTTTTAAACTTAGCAGTTGCTTGACAGTCTTCAACGGTGAAACAAACAGATAAATTCTTAAAGCAAAGTCAAATCAGTCAGTCCCCAGTATCGACTTCTGGTGGTCTTTAATATTCACTTATAACCTGTGCAAATGTTGTATACTGCATTGACCTTGCATGTCCATCCTTCTGTCCGTCTAAACTGAGTACTTTTGTCAGATATTACACAGCACGTCTCTTAGGATTTTTCTGTTATGTCTGGAGCTTAGGTTACTATAGTTAAGCGATTTTTAAATCTACCATACAACTTTCTGCATGACAATAGATTGAATTGTCACCCTTTCCAATGGCATGAAATTTTATTGGTTTTGAATTTATTCCCATGAAAATGATTACAGATTTGATCAGTGATTATTGGACCTCAATGAATAAAAAAAATCGTACAAATAGGTTCCTATCACCAGAGCAACCACTTCCTGTTAACCAAAAGCATGATATTTTTGTCAAAGTTTCCATTAGGTTTGTGAGGGAATTATTATGTATTTTTGAGCTGGATCAATAACATGAATTAGTAGGGCTCCGGTAATACTACAGTACTAGTGAATAATATTATTAATACGGGTACTTCATACGTATACATGTATATAATATCATATGGCCATAGAAGTGATATTCTAAGAAGCCACTTCTCCCAGTTAGCCAGCAGTAGGATCATAAACATGATGACTTTACCCACCAAAAAGTCCCAGTGATTGAACAAAATATTCACTAGAGTGATGTCCAGCAAGAGATTCAGAAAAGCTTCTGGATAAAGGAACTAAATGAAGTTCATCCAAATGGCATCAACTAGCAGTTTGGTAGAGATGTTCATCCATTATTTCATATATATTTACACAAACTACTTCATTTTGACAATTTTGGATACAATAGATATGCAGCCATGTTTATATAGTACTAGTATTTAGTTTTGTTTTGTTTTATGAGATTTAGATTTTGGATTAAATCAATAGTTCAAAATCTACCTGTATTACTGAGCTATTTTTAAACATAAATAACTAGTATTGTTTTTAATACATTTAATAAAAAACATTGACACTGACGAATGCTATTTGTTCAGCCAAAAATATTTGTCAACACGATTTTATAACATCCTGTTAGTCTATTACCATCTTTTATTAGTATCGTTGCGCAAATTTGAAGACTTTTATAATTTTTTTCCTTATATGCACAGTATCCCCTATTCTAGAAGATCCAGCACATATTGAATTTGCTGGTTGGTCTTTTTTAATTCATATATATATATTGTAGTATTTTATTGATATATAAAAATAAGAAGATATGGTATGATTGCCAATGAGACAACTCTCCACCAGAGACTAAATGACATAGAAGTGCCTTAAACCGCAAATTATCAAGATTATGAGTTTATTAAAAATTCTAGACCAGTTCAGAATAAGAAAAGCAGATCTACCATTCTGGAGTGTCATACATTAAATTGATCTTTTTTTCAATGGTATCATTATATTGACCATTCCAGAATGGTAACAGTATATCTACCATTCTGGAATGGTAATAGTACATTGACCATTCTGGAATGGTAACAACGCATCGACCATTCTAGAATGGTAACAGTACATTGACCATTCTGGAATGGTAACAACACATTGATCATTCTAGAATGGTAACAGTACATTGACCATTCTGGAATGGTAACAGTACATTGACCATTCAATAATGGTAACAGCACATCAACCATTCTAGATGGTAACAGTATATTGACCATTCTGGAATGGTAACAACACATCGACCATTCTAGAATGGTAACAGTACATTGACCATTCTGGAATGGTAACAGTACTCATGATAATTTAAACAAGCTGAACATCACTGTCTATTCTGTAAAATGGTATGGGAATTTCAATTATTTCCAGAAACAAAAACTTTGAAAATGTGTGTACATTTTTATGCGCTGTCCTA